AGAGTAGTTGAACCAGTTTTTTATTCTATGAGAAAATTATTGATTATAATTTTCTAATTATCGATTTAAAAGAATAGCTTGAATCTATAAAAAGATACAGAATTATTAGATCAGCACTTTATATAAGTGTATTAACAAAATCCTGATGTTTTCTCTTCTTCGAAGTCTTTCAATTTTGTACACTGTATATTCTTATCTAACATTGACACGCATTTGAAATGTATAAAGAGCGAACTGACAATATTACAAAAAATATATGTCTACTTGGAATATCATGTAAGTGACAATATAATTTTTAAACATTATAGTAAAATTTTTTATCAAATATCATATAAAAAAATGTTCATTGGCACACTATCATTAGATGTTGATTAGTATGACATTAGTTTTTTATATAATAAATCAGGCAATTTGATGTCAGAGAGGAGATAATGATATATAGATTTGTTTTATATTTTTAAACGTTATTAATTTTAAGAAAGAATAACTCTACGACGAATGTGATACATTGTAGATGAAATTATCCATTTGTAACACACTGAAAAGGATCCGAATGATGAATCAAAATGTTTATTGTAAATTCAATTGAATTTTATGATAAATAAAGATATATACACTGTAATTTTGTATCGGCTCATGTTGGCATAATTCAATATTGATTTATTTCGTTTGAGCCTGAAGAAATTTATTAATTTTATCGACTTAATAATATAGATCGAATGGCTAACATTGCGTGCGAACTGCTAGTTTGAGCACGAAAACAGACACATTTGACATTGAGTTGTAAAAATTATTACAAGATACATTAAAACTGCACCTTTTTTTCAGTGCTCAGACAATTCGCACAATGCATCCACGCATCTGTATCGCTAAGTCGATAATTAGATGTGAGGTCGATAATTTTCTCGTAGAGTAAAAAACTGATTCAACTACTCTGATTCACCCTCTGTGTGTGTGTGTGTGTGTGTGTGTGTGTGTGTGTGTGTGTGCGCGTGTGTGCGTGCGTGCGTGTG